GCTCAACTCTGTTAATATTTCCACCTAGCTTTGGGGTGGATTTAAAAAAAAAAAAATCAAAATCATATTTATTTTATTTATGTATGGGTTTGAAATAATACCAAATTAAGCTAGACAGGATCAGCATAGTGCCATACACCAAAACACTAACAGACGCACTTGCCTTGTCGTTCGTTAAGGTGGGGGATAGATATCCCAATTGTTACCACAAGATCACAAGTGTCCGGCTTGAAACCAATTCAAACACAACATATATTTTTGCTTAGGGGAAAACAGCTGGCTAGAATCAAAATGTCGTGTCGTCAAATTTTCATCACTAAATATGTACAGGAATCATATATGTCGGAAATAGACGTTGTCGACTTATTGATGATATTTTTAGTTAATAAGAACCAACAAGAAGGACAGATGGGGTTTTGGATTAAGACCAATTCTTTTTTAATCAACCAATTGGTTTCAATTGTTCGAGTTGTTGGGAGATATTCAATTATGAAGCTTATATTATATGTTAATACACCACCTTAAACGAATGCCATGTATATGGGTTTGTCGTTTGCATATGTCCAAACATGTAAAATCTACTAAACCGCGGAAGCACAACACAGCTATTTACGTGGTTTCCCCGTTCAGTGTGAACGAGACTCCTCCACGGAGAGGCGAAGCTCTCAGTTTATCTTATTAGTCTTCACAGAATGGGAGCTGCAGAACTTACATCTGAAGGCCGAAGAACCAACCTAATATACCCTGTCTACTACGCTGCCTAGGGTAATTAGGTTAAGTGACAAATAACACAAAAGTTCCTCAAAGTAATTAATGTGTACAAGGAAACTCCATATGATTCAACAAAACACAGCCTAGTTATTCTACTAACTTGAAAATTCATTAGTATATACTAACTAATATCCAAAATATATGAACTAATATCCAAGTCTGCTGAGTATCTAGATAACACATACTAGTATTCAAAACATCACAAACTAGTATCCAGATAGCAGATACCAACTAATATCCACAATCAACCAACTAGTATTCAATATGGATACTCTTATGTGTTATCTGGATACTCTTAAGTGTTATCGGGATACTAATTATGTGTTATATGGATACTATTCTGTGTTGTCTAGATATTAGTTTGTGAATTTGGGATAATAGTTGATTCATGGTGGATATCAGTTAGCAAACTTTGAATACTAGTCTGTGCTCTCTAGATACTTTAGTATTTGGATACTAGTTCATGTATTTTGGATATTAGTTAGTATCTGCTAACGAATTTTCAAATTAGCAGATTAACTTTCCCAACAAAACACCATGTGGTTTAACAAATGAGGTGGACCCAGACAGACCATTAGTTAGATACTGCTTTCTCAAAGGTCAGCACTCTCTTCCTTTTCTTCCTTTGCGCGTAAGGCGTAACCCACAAAGAACACTACAGGTGTCTGCTGCATATATGGTGAAATTGACAGTAAGAATATTGATTCATATTTCGTTGACTCGCTACCCCTTAGGCCTTAACACAATTCATGATATGACTTGAAATCTCTTTAAGTGTTGACTAATCCAATCTAGTAGCTCCCATTTAAACCCCAACTATTAGTGATTGATATATGATTGAACCTCTTTCAACAATTCGAGTTATTGAGACCAACTGGTTTATGACATGATATCAGAACCTTATATGACCAAGAGGTCTTGTATTCGAATTCCAGTAACCCCATTGATGAAGTACATGTATTCTCGTATTCTGAATAATAGCTTACTCAAAAACTGAGCTGACTTACCCGCTCTACTGCAATTCATCCTTCTTGGGCTTGCAGTGCACGTGTGAGCTCGATCGACTCTTTTAAATAACTAGCTTATTACCCGGCCCGTTGGCCGGATTACTGTATGTTACCCACTTATGGAATGGGAGAGAAAGCAAGTGAGAGTGAAGGGATTGAGATTCCACTTGATTAGGACCGACCCACTAATCCGATTCTTCCCGCCCCGCCCCAACCTAAAGGGTCAGAAAGAGTTAATAAGAAAATACGAACGGAGAGGATTAGTCATATATCTTGACTCTTCATAAGTGGGTCAAACAGGATCAAGGTTGGGTGAGGGCAATTTTTAGCGCTAAGCAGAGTTCTGGGTTGAATAACTTTACTTAGGCCTAGAAATTGGTGCTGATGCAGACTGCAGTTTTTATTATACCATCATCAATCATCATTGAATTAGTCATGGGCATCCCTCCCCGTTGTCGGTCTGAATTCTAATGATGGCTTCATTCCTTGCACCAGCCATATCAGCGAGTTGTCATCTCGAGTATGATTTGCCTATGTACAAATGATACAATTGGAGTATGAAACTTAATTCAAAGAAAAGGAAAAGAGAATTCTATCACATGCCAATAAATACACACATAATAGTTGAAGCTAAGTGAAAGTCATTACTCGCATATCAATTCTCAAAAATTACAGACTAAACAATGGCTAGAATGGCACTGAAACTACCAAGAATCATGGACGAAACAACTTGTCAAATTAAATAATCCTTATACTGAAACTACCTTCTAACTTGAAATAAGACATGATCACAGTTCATAACACTCTTATCATTATGAATTGGTTGCAGCTCGTCCTTATCACTGCCTCCCAAGCTCAATTCAAACAGAATAGAGACCGTTATGTAAGATAACCATATCCTTACTGATCATAATTCCTTTCTTCACTCCATTTTTGTCGGAGAAAAGAGTTATCCCCCTCTCCTGCATTTCCCTTTCCCCCTCTCTTTCCCCTCTTCTTCACAAACCGATCCCTAAACCAGCAACAACAACACAAAATTAGCCTTCGCCTCTGCCATCTCCATCTACTGAACGCGTTGGTGGCTAGACAGGACTGCAGAAGCAAAATTTTCTAAAATCAAACTAAATTTTTTGAAGGAGACTCAACCACGAAAAAAGAGTAAAGCAACAATGCTAATAGTTCAGATGGTTGGTTTTGATGCTATACGTTGCTTTTGTTATGGTCTCCAGTATCTCAACTGCATCAAAGATGTTTCCTCCAATCATCTTTAATGCAGGATTTAGAAGTAAATGCAGGATTTAGAAGTAAATGCAGTAGGTGATATGTGTCTCGAAGGTTTTGAGTTACTAAAGTTCATGTTAAAAATAAACATGAATTAAAATGGATTATTCTATTAAGCAAACATCCACTATAATCATACAAAGATCAGATATCCAATTCACAAACAATTAAACCATAAAAAATCATCACACATCCACCACCTTTGATTGCCTAAATTTGGTTTTTCGCAAAGTTATGGACTCTTAAGGGTAACGTTCATGGGTAGTCTGTTTCATAACTCTAGAGAGCACAGTAAGCAGCCACCAGCCAGACACAGTGCGGTAGGCGAATATGATTCTCAATTCACAATTTCTCACCACCGGAAGTAAGAACAGACCATAATAAGCGTAGCGTTCATGGGTGGTCTGTTTCATAGCACTACTACACAATTTGTTAAAAAAGAAAGAAAGGTAATTAGCATCACGGAGGAACAACTTGTACAGGCCAACAACGACAACATGCTGCAACCACCAGAACTGGTATCACAACTCATAGGGAAAATCAAAAGATTTACTCTCAAATTAAGTAGTTACAACATCGAGCAATCGTCAAGCACATACACCATCACAAAAGTCACGGAACCTGATTCACAAAGCATTCAAACATTTGAGGAAATTTCTGCAAAGGTACAACTTATATGTCTTTTTTCCAAGCCATTTCCATCAACATGCTAATAAATTTGCAATGCATAAAACAAACGGGCCAAAACTTGAAATTCAGCCTATTTGACCGACCCATGCCAAATTCTAATTATTCTTTACTTTTAAACTTTCTATTTGAAAATAAAAAATAGTGAAAGAAAAGAGACGACTACAATTCGCCTTTTGCACGTCACTTATTCGGGAATAAAACCATAGAAATTCAAAAGGAACTTAAAATATTTAGGATCGTTTTAATGTTTAAAATAACCAAATAGATCTTTATGTTTAGTTTTTTACTAACAAATACCAAACGATTCCCTATAAAACACACTATAATTTGATCAATATGATGTCAAATAATTATAAAATATATATTTGAAATGATAAAAATTGGAATATTTGGGTTGGTCGAGCCATTGAATAACTTTAAAATACATTATATTTTAGCCACTAAGATATAAAATAATAGCATAATATATATTATGCCAGAGAAAATAGCTTGTTTTAGAATGACAAACCAATGATGTTCATTTGTTTTACTTGATGGCCAAACCCCATGTAGGTCAGGCCCATTCAACTCTTTTATTTTATGGTTAGCGGTTAGCCCATTAGATACCATGCATTAGTTTATTGTTAAATTTTTTATTTTTAACAATAAAAAGGAGTATTATTTTTGACTTTTCATATATATTTTATCACCACGGAGAAATAAAAGGGTATAAAGAAAAAAATTGACACTCCTAGACCCGTTTAAATCCGCATGTGTACGGTAAGTTGGCCCGTTCCACAGAGGAAAGAGAAAAAATTGGTACTCCCTATTCTACCCTTCCTACAAATGCTCATGGAGCAGGGAATTTGAAATGGGGCAAGAGTTTTTTCCACCCTGCTATTATATGTTTTTAGTTTAAAAGGATACAACAAATGTACTTAGTTTGATTGGTTATGATCTTTGTCTTTCTTTAAAATGGCCATGGTTCGAATCCCCGTATGTATTTTTTTAATGAATAAAGAAAAATAATTGTGAAGACAAAAATGTCCTTCCTACTTTCACTCTCGTTGCAGGAAATTTGAAATGGGGCTCCCGTTTTTCACTTCGGTGTATTATAGTATGTGTAGATTTCAGCCTGAATAGCTGATAGTAAAGTTCTGCACCAATCTTGGGCCGGTCAATAAAAATGTCCCATTCTGGCCCAATATAAAAGTCCTCACTTTCGGCTAGTTGGGCTGCCGTCGGCTTATCGGAGCCCAATCTCCACCACCCGTAATCTTGCATCCCCCGGCGATTGTGTCCAAGTCCCCGAATCCTTCTCTAATCTCCTCAATCTCGTTCACTTACCATCTCCCCCGCCGCTGTTGAAAACTGGTTACGCTCAGTGCCCGCTGAATAGATTGGCTGATCTGCTTCGCTTCGCATCGGAATTTCATCGCCCAGTCGAGAAATCCCGCGCCGGTGTCCTGGTTTTTTGTTCGCAACACCGGCGCCCAGATTGCTTCAATTGATATCTTCAATTGAACAACTCGGCGTTGCTTCATGCGGAATTGTAAGCTTCCCTTCCACCATTGCAATCAACATCGCAGAATCGCTCTCTCCAGCGAACCTTCATCTGTATCGCCATTGGATTCCTGTTTGGCCGAAATTTTATTGGATTGAGGAAGACGAAGAAGAAGAAAGATGGGCCAAGTTCAAAGCGAGCATTCAGTACCTGCTTGTTCAGAGGAGACGCAATTCAAGCCTCAGGGCTCGTCTCCTCCTACTTCCATGGAATCTCTCGTAGCAGGTGAACTGTTCGCAACCTTTTCCTCTCCTGCAGCGTTTAATTTGATAATAGTAAACTCCAATATCAGCTCCCCGTAGCTTCCACTATTTGATTCTTCTTTGCAACCATACGGCTTTGGGTTACAGTCCAATTAGGATGCTATTCAACATCAATGGCAGTGATCATTTGTCACTACTTCGTTTTGTAAAGACGTTGCTACTCGCTATTGTCCAATTTGGGTGCTCTTCGACTTCTTCAATGGCAGTAGACATTTCTGTCCAATGAATAATGCATATTCCTCTCGTATTTATTTGAGTGAACAAATGGGGAATTTTGACTGATTCGAGCTTCAGACAGAAGGATGAAGAAAATGATTGAGACTATTCTTGGTTTTTGTTGAAGATGATTTCCAAGTGTCCTGATTGTATTTGCTTTTCCGTTTGCTTGGGCAGAAGCTGCAGCCTTTGGTGATTCTGCTGCCGTGAATGAGGTCGGTTAGCAACCCTCTAGATTCCCACGGGCTTCTCCTTGTCAATGTCTTGGAACTGTAGAGATGGTGAGCGTGAACTACTGAGGGATTGGATTTATCTTTTTGTTTTCTCTATATTGGCAGTCTCAAGATTCCAAGGCCGAGAAGGCACTCGACTGCCCCTGCATAAGTGAACTACGAAATGGCGAATGCGGGGTTCAATTTTCGGATGCTTTCCTGTGTTTTCTCAAGAGCACTGCTGAAGAAAAGGTGAATCATTCTGCTAACCAGAGAAAACGGTATCCTCGTCCTTTTTGTGTTGATTCCCAATTAGGATTCGGTAGCTTCTCTTTTAATGAAGGTTCCTACTGTGAACTACAAAAACAAAATTGTACTGTGAGGCTGAATTTACTTCTCTTCCCATGAGCTATGAGTAAGTGTTACTGAATCAGATGGTGGATTGTGTCACATTTGTACCTTGTTCCGCAGGGATCGGATTGCGTGCGGCCGTTTGTGGCCCTGCAGAATTGTATCAAGGTGAATCCTGGTGCATTTTCAAAGGATGTTGTAAAGGAAGAAGGAGAAGAGGTGAAGAAAGAGGAAGAGCCAGTGAAATATAGGATCATCCCTCCCTTGTGGGCAAGGGATAAAACACCTTCTAGCCCAAAGCCAAAGCTATAAGAAGAGCCCTCAGAGAGTGGAGTTGCCACTGTTTGGAAACCTGATGGGCAAACAATTACCAAACCAAACCATAGAAAAGGAAGGAAGAAGGGAAGTGTAACTTTTGGTTTCTGGTGGATTATATAGTCAACCGTTCTTTGCACCCATGATTGTAGAATGATTGGAACGATTCAATACTACAGCTCAAGGATCAATTTGTTCATTGCCAGAGACAATTATCTTAGGATCTTCGATTGGTTTTCCCCCCCAATTGTCGATGTCGTTACAGACTAGCAACGGGAAGATAGCAGGAAAAAACACTGTATGCAAATTCATATCATATAGTAAAGCTTTATATCATGTACAAACAAAATTACATCCTTATTTACAAGTTTCAGGACAATGCAGTGTGACATTTGCCAGAAAAAAACCCTGCACCGTCAATAGGGGAGACAAGGCAACCACTAGAGCTTTGGGCGTGTATATATCATTTAGAGCTCTCTCATAAAGGTCTCAACAGCGAGTAATCTTGCAGCAGTTCTCTTTCCGACAGCGTGTCGTTTTCATTTTGAGGCGTCCACAGCACCTCAACTGCCTGTATGTATGACAAAACCACGAACAAAACATAGAGATCAATCGTGGGATTCGGGTGACAATAACCAATTCAGAGTGATTCAGATGATTTGCTAAATCTCTTACGAGTAAACTTTCAGAGGGAATTGTCGCGAGCTTCTGCAGAGCTTTCTTTAGGTCTCCAACACTGTTAATGGCGGGTAGCTTGTGCACCCCATCAGCTGCCACCAAGATTGTTATCTGCAATCATTTGAATGACACAATCTCAATTCTGGAGACCAAACTGGGGCTAAGAAGAGTTGGATGCACAGGTCAAGGTAGTGCAACTGTGCAAGGTCTAAAATATGAACTACTACTACTACTACTACTACTCACCACTATGTATTCATTGCTAAACTCGCTTGCTCTCCGGCTTTTGGTGCTCTGCCTCTTAATGCTGTTCACATTAACAAGCGTCTCTTCATCAAACTTTCCCCGTTCTTCAATAGAAAGTTGGTTGAACCGTTTCTCACCTTCCTCCATACTTCGCTTCACATCTACCTGGCAGTATTGAAAAATTTACATGCACGAGTATCAGCACACCGATGAATACTATACTGCAGCATATAAACCACAAGGCTCGTTCAAAGAGACTACATCGGCCTCAATGATACCATGTTGGAATTACAAACAACGAGCATGTACGGAGCAAAATCAACAGACTAGCAAATGAATGTCAGAGAGAGAGAGGGAGAGAACTTACAGCTGAATAGGCTGAGATGCAATAATCAGGACGCCGAAGCAAAGAGAGTGAAGTCTCTGCAACCACAGTATGCAGATGATCATGATCCGATCTTCATCAGCTATGGATGCTAACAATATTTTTCATAACAAACAAGGCAAAAAAAATGGTTCTGGTCTTCCCATATAAAACCCCAATGAAAATTATTAGCTCCATACCTGTTAAGACATAGCTTAGACCCTTTGAGGAGGATGTATCTGCAACTTCTGCAATCTTATTAAGATCCCTCTGAAGAGAGCGTGCCATTCCTAACAAGCCAACCTAAAGTAAAGGACAAGAATCATTAGTTTCAATTCGATTGCAGAATCCACTGATCGCAAAGAGTTCCTTTCACAGTTGAAGCCCCCAAGGTAAACTATTACGACAGTCCAGACACAGGATTTTCATAGCAACCGTTCCATTTTTAATTCAGGACAAAGAGAGAGAGAGCATCCGTAGCAGGCAGAATCCTCAGTTCAACAATTTTAATGGAGGCCATAGGAAGTACCTGAAGCTTGATAACGCTGGTTTTCTCGGTAGCTGTTAGAATTCCCGCTTCATTTCCATCGGAAAGAAACCCGGAGACCAACACAAAGGCAGCGAAACCAGCTACAATTAGAAGCAAACCAGAGCCAGCACCGGCGACTACCGAGCCAGCGTAAATTCCCCCACCGCCCAACGGGGACGGGCCGTAGTAAGGCGCGGAGTAGGAAAACCCCGAGCTCGAGCCGTGAGGCACGGAGTAACTCCTCGACGACGAGGAAGAGGAGCGGGAGAAGGATCTGCCGCCCATCCTTCCACCAGAGGCAGCGAAAGCGGAGGCGGGGTCGTACATCAGCAGCGCGGCGACCAGAATCGCGGCGATCGCTGGCTTCTTCATCGCCTGCAGGGCCTTCAGGGCGGCGTTGCAGAGTCTCTCGAACGCACTCTTCTTCTCCTTCTTGAACTCGGCAATCGCGAAGCTCGAGCCCGACGTGGTGGCCGGGACATGAGTGTCGTTGGAGGAGTTCAGATGCTTCGCCGCGAAGGAACACCTGATCGTGAGCCTGGAAGCAGGTTTGGAGGCGGAGGATTTATTAGCGGCGGTTCTGAGAGGGAACGAGATGGAGGACGAGCAAATTGCTGTAGGCGGAGGCGGCGGCGGCGGCGGCGAGGGAGGGAATTGCTTCCATTTGAGTGGGTTCCACTGGAGGAATGAAGCAGTTGCCGCCATTGGAGGGGAGCTCGGAGAGGGAGTTGGACGGCGAGGGAGAATTGGGGGAAGAGATTTTTTTTTTTTTTTGGGGAAATCTATGGCGGAGCTGGGTTTCTGATTAAATTGAGAAAATCAAAGAGTTCCATAATTTTCCGAAAGCTCATCCCGTCCTCACTGGTTGATTTGATTCTCATGGAGGATATCAGTGGGTTACTCTTCTTTGTCTTGTGACGCGATGACGTTTTGTTGTTAAAGTTTATAAAGAACGTCCAACATCATAGGGAGTTGTTAAAGGTCGCCCTTAAAATTGCTAAAAGTCGCCCTAAAAAGAATCAAAGTTACACTTTTACCTCCTTAGCTTCTTTACCTTCCCTTTCTCAAACAAACACCACTTGAACTAAAAAAACACTATCTAAGGAGAGAAAAATCCATCATCGTCATTTTGAAGCCGATATCGTCGGAGTAGCGACTCCGACGAGGTAAATACATTAACTGAAAAACGGAAAAAAAAAAAAAGGAACCGCAAATCACCTGCGGTTGGACCATGGCTGGACCGCAAATGAACTGCGGTTGGACCATGGATGGACCGCAAATCACCTGCGGTTGGACCATGGCTGGATCGCAAATGACCTGCGGTTGGACCATGGCTGGACCGCAAATCACCTGCGGTCCAGCCATGGTCCAACCGCAGGTCATTTGTGGTCCAGCCATGGTCCAACCGCAGGTGATTTGCGGTCCAGCCATGGTCCAACCGCAGGTTGACCGCGGTCAGCCGTTGGTTCAACCGCGCGTTGACCGCGGTCGGCACGGTTTTTTTTTTTTTTTTTACCTTCTTCTTCTCCGACGAAGCCTTCTTCTCCGGCGAAGGCTGCTGCGCGGGTGGGATCGCGGGAGTTCGGCGCGATGGAGCGAGGTGCAGAGGGAAGGGAACGCAGGAGAATAGGTTTAGGGCTTGTTTGTTTCTTTCAATTTTGATTTTTTCATTAAGGGTATACAGGTAATTTGACATCTAAGTTAGGGCGACATTTAGCAATTTTAAGGGCGACATTTAGCAATCCAGTTATATTATGGCAATTCGAGTACCGTAAAAATATATATGACTAAAATTGGATCGAGACGAGTACCTCAACATTCTTATGAATGGGTTAGGACTTATAGAGAGGTCAGGCAAGCATCCTAAGAAATTAATTTGCCTCATGAAGGTTTCCTCATAATGTCGTAAAAACCAAAATTGTATAGCAAAATAACACGACATCGGAAAACCCAGCATCAAATCCTACAGAAATAAACACGACATTACAGTTCCCGCATAATGTCATAAAAACCGAATTTGTATAGCAAAATAACACATTACGACTGCACTAGCAGCGTCGATGAAAGATCCGGTGATGGGAAACGAGCAAGAAGAAGCAGGTTTTGTGTGTAGACTATACATAACATAGTACAACCGACTCATAGGAGTTTGTCGAGCTGTGCTTGCAATTCTGGAATGGGGACCATGTTGATGGTGGTTTGCTCTTCAGGGGAGTACTCCGCTTTCAACAGCGACTGGACCTGAATGTGAGCTTCGACAATGTTCGTTCTGTGTAAACAGCAATAATGCAAATCCAACGTTTCTTTAGAGATCCCAATCATAAAGAACACCAACGAGTTGACATAGGATGCGGGGGGAAATGAGGAACATACTTGATGGGCTTGAAAAGTATCGTTCGAGTTGAAGGGTTCTGCAGGTAGAGCTTCATTTTGGCCATCACCGGTGGCAGCTCTTTCTGGATGGCAGCATGAACCTGTTGAGAGAGTTAAGGATATCGAAATCAAGAGAAATTAAGAGCAGAAACAAACAGTGATGGCGGCAGCTCTTTCAAGCTAACTTGGCGAGAAAATCTACTTACGACTATCAACAACAAAATAACACCTCATTTAATAAAGTTGCATTTTCAACAACAAAATAACAATGAGGTTTCGAACAAATCGTTGAAAATGAAGTCTGAATGAAAAAGTTACATATGAAGGAAGCTATTTGCTCTGTACAGAAACATTACCTTCTGAACAAGTTCAGCCACCTTCTCGGGAGAAGCAAAAGCTTGATCCTTGATCGGCTTGGCCATGATTGAATCTGCTCTTTGGTTCTGACTACCCGCAGACAGGGAAACTTTCACTGCCGTCACCTATACAAGGAGCAGAAAGGATTTGCAACTGCACTCTCGTAGCCTTAAGCACATGAAACAAAAACTGGAGAGCAAACATCTATGCAGCTAAAACTGGTCATTATGGTGAACACTTTCGTCCTTCATCTATGCTGCCCTACCCAGAACCACCGACTCCACAATGGACATGTAGGTATCTATTTTCATGTCAGACACACCAGGTATTTTCACTCATTGACAAGATTATCCTGGGTGTCCCAATTTCACTAGAATGCAACTATATGTAATAGATTGAACCAAAAGTTACTAAGGTTTCACTCAAATAAGATTTTGAGAGTGCCTACCTTTGTTGCAAATGAGAGCATTGGATCCACAACTGATTTAGTGACCGACATGATGAACTCCTCGCACGTGGCCTTTAGGCTTTTCTCAAGTTCCTGCAGATGAATAAGAGCAACTTGTTAATATGCAAAGGGCAAGAAAATATAAATCAGATAATTTAATTTCATCACGCATACCACTACTGCAGTAGTAGTTTGATGAAGAAAGGGATTTCAAGAAGATAAAATAAGAAATCATCACCAAACCTTTTTGGCATCAACTTGGCTTTCTAGCACTCTAGGAGATAAGGTTCTTGCCAAAGAGGATGATCTTGACCAATCAAATAGTGAGGTCTGACCTCTAAGTATCCGTCTCAGGTGCTCCTGGATCATGGATGCTAATGTTAATAATGCAACAAAATCATTGGCAATTTTCATCACAGCATAACCAGAAGATCAAACAGAGTACAAGAAACAGACTTTAAAAAAGATGCTTTAATCTATGGTCGATGCTAAGTATAGAACTTCAATTGAGAGATATATCAGCCTAATTCTTGCAATGGTTATCTAAACTGATTGGAACTTCAAGTTTCGTTAACAAATGAGAGAAACTAACCAGTAAATGAGAGAAATCTAGCTCCTTGTGTGTGACTGAGAATTCTATATCAAAAGGTGCAATCTGATATACCCAGGATTGCACGTTAGATTGTATCCACCAATAGAAAGCCACAAAATCATTGAAATTGAAAATCTTGGAGATAACCTGCTCCCTTAATATTAGAAGGTGCTTAATAAGGAAAAGCTGCCCATCCATTGCTGTTGTTCTCCTAGCAATCAGCCTGCTAGCTTTCTGTGTCACACACGAAGATTTGATTCAGGGAGTTGATGTTAATGCATATAGAACTGCAGTATGGATACATAACAGAAATGTGCATCATTTAACTTACTTGAATGGAATCAGCACAAACTTCCACTGCTTCCTGTCAGACAGCAATGCAAAGGGAATTTCAGAAAGTCAATTGCTTAAAAAGTAATGAGAATACCACCAATGATACAAAACTCTAATACCTGTGCCAAACCAGTGAACACGGATTGTTCAAGACAACGGTACAACTTAGAAAGGCATGATAAAGTTTTCTCCAGAGGCGGATACCAAGATTTAAACAGCTCTGTATTTTCATCAACCTGCAAAATATAAAGATGAATGGGGAAATAATGAATGGTCGATAAATTGTAAATATTTTCAACAGCTTGGCCTACAGACTCCAGTTTTTCCCATAACCAATTAATCACAAACCAGAAATTATAACAATGTAGAAGGAGACAGAAAATCCGAGTATCTGAGGTTTTACCGAAGAAGTTTCAGACGTTGTCTCATTAATCCGTTCTAGCTTGGCAGGGTAATTCAAGTCTTCGTCAGATGGAATGTAATTTGCTATCTGCAGGAGAAACAAGTCCACTGGCATTAGGAAGAACTAAAGGTCTTAGAACATTGTCATACTTCTTGACATAACATCTTCCAAGGATGGGATTCAAAGCTTAAAAAAACAATATAATATACCGAGCTTTATTTCTCAGAAAAAATAAACACCAAGCTACATGAGCTTGCAAAAGTGAACACAGAACCCCAATCGTATACCGTACTTTCATATACATCACTTGCATAGGTGAATAGAAGTAACAAATAAATAACTACCTCGTCACGGATATGAGTTCGAGCACGGAATGTCAGGCGTTCATGAACATCAGCTAAAATCCTTTCCAGTGTCGGACGCAGCCCAGCAAGTGACTCGCTTCTCCTGCTAAGCTGCTCTCCCAAGACTTCAACTTTTAGTATATCAACAAGTTCACACAGAAGATCAACATTTGTCTCATGTATAAGTTTTGGTCGTAGGGTGTCATACAAGTATGTTGCCCTGTAAAACAAAATTGAAAGTCATAAACTGGAGCACGAATTTACACCAATAACAAGCTCAACATTTACAGCCGCAACAAAGAAAGTACGGAAAAAGGAAGGAAAAAAAAAAGAGAGAGATAAAATCTCGGAAAAAGGAGAACTCATGAAAAATGATATGAAAAAATCTTACAGAGGATCTATCAGTGGAGCCAAACTAGAGATATCTTCTGAAGAAGATGGGAAAAAGTGATCAAAGAGCTGTTGCTCAAGTTGACATACCTGCAATTATGGAGGTGGACTTAGGAAAATGGATAGAAGTCTTTCATGAAATGGAAAGAAAAACTAGACATGAACATGTACCTTCAAGGAGCGAATTTCCAAAACCACGAAGAATAGTGAATGCATAGGAATTAAGTGAGCAACATAATGGCTCGACAAGAAAATTAATGTCCATAGTGGTGTAAGATAACAAGGAGGTTCTAGTATGGCTCTTCGTGGATCGATCATGGAACCACAGCAATGGCTAGCCTAGTATTAGTTTGCATAGTGCATATGAAGCCTGCAAGCTATTTGAAGAGAACCATATACATGCCCCTCATCTCATGCAGACAGAGTTTGACTAGATGATTCCCCTTTGATACCAAGCCAGTAGCGATGATACCAGTAAGAAACCAAATTACTAATGCCAGATTTCATGGCATACATAAAATTTCTTGGTGAATTGGAAAATCTAAAATAAGGGACAAAAAGCTAATTCATCAAATCAACCAGCGGGTTTAAGGGTTAACAACATTACCTGTGTCAGATATGCACAACCAGATCTAGTTAATGATGGCAAAGCTTCTTTCTTGGAAAACTCAGATATCCGTTGCTGCACTATGCCTTTTATCTTCAAAGAGAAAAATGAATTGCAAGGATCAAACAAAGCCAACAAAGATGCTGGTGTACCCCAAAATTAGTGAGAGGAAGCTCACCAACGAAAGCCTCTGCTCGCAATACAACTTATGGCATTCTGCAAGCATCAGTACGTGTTCTTTTCTAGCAGATCTACCTTCAATCTCCTCCAGTATAGGTTTGAGCTGCCAAGAATCATCATTAGGTGAGGTCAAATTGAGCAAACAAATGAGTGCAACTCCGGGAACTAGTCCATTGCATATTTTATGCACCAGTAGGCAAAGTAAGAAATACCTCACTAGCAGCTGCCTTGAACCGAACATAGATAACGGATGCTTCCACACCTTCAGACATAGATGATTTACTGCCACCAGAGCTCCGGATAGCTGCTTGGACCTGTTGAAGAGAGTAATTATTAATCAAGGCCATGAACATACGAATGAGTAGCAGATGCCTTAGATCATTGGTGGTTAAATCTTTTTCTTGCATAAGAATGTTTCACCTGAGAAGAAGCGCCTTTCAAGACTGAAAGAACATGAGAGCGAATCATGCCGAGGGCTCGAGACTGATAAAAAACAAAAAATATTTTAGATGTTTCAGACCAGTGAAAAAAAATTCTGTCATTTGTACAGTCTACCACCAATCATAGTCTTTAGTGATGTACCTGCAGTTGCCGAAATTTGAGCAAGTAAACACTTGATTCGGCATATTGTGGATTGCTTTCAACATACCTGGGAGCAAAAATGGTAAAATGACATTCAAACGCAGTCCAATCAAGAGAAAGTTACATTATCTCATGAACAAGCATATGCCGAATATCAGCAGCACAAATAACCAGCAGACAGAGGAAAGATGTGTACATACGCTATACACTCATCCAGCCGCTTCAGTAGAGGTAGAAAGTTTCCATTTCCAACATTCATGTTTGGAGAATAAAAATTGGAAGAAATCTGTAAAGGTGGAAATCATGAGCCTCAGAAATTAAAAAAAAAAAACTTGATAACATCGAAAGCGTTAAAACAACAGTATTAACATTATACATCAAGAAAACTGCTAGCACATCATTAACTAGAACATAATTAACCTGACTAAAGAGAAAACCACAAAAAAGACTGGACATGTAATGTTCTAACTGTGACTCTAGTTAAGAGAGGTTCAAACCTTACATTCTCCAATTCATCAAAGTATCTCAGTTTACTGCGAAGTGCATCTGCAAATTCCACTAGTCTTTGCTTCTCTACTACCTGCAATAGGAGTCAAGAAACGAGGCAACCACATAATGGAACTACATTATGAAAGGCGAGCAGGCTTTTAAGGAGTAGTTTTACTCCAAAGACCAATTAATGTAGCTCAAGGTTGTGTTGCCAATGATGTCATCACGTGTAAAATACACACAAAATATTAAGATGCACATGATAGTACACTGGTAAATTAACCAAAGAAAAGACAATAATCAATTTCTGGCTCATTTGCGACAGAAAAACTTCAACTGATATGTCCAGCTTGTTTGATTCCAGATTTCTATTGGTCAACAAGGGATTGAATAAAATTTCACAGTTCAACAGTTAAACCTTTCTAGCAATGGCTGCTATACAAAAGGAGAGCTAGTTAAATGATCAAATCCGTAAAGGAGGAGGCTATACCAGTCTATCGCAAGCATCATGGAGAGTCTTTGTCTTTGTAGCTACTGCTTGGTGCTGCAACTGTAAGCTATTGAAAAGGTCTAGTGTTTCATCTACCTGCCACGTGAAAAGTGTCAAAGTATCCATAAGGACAACATAACTAGAACGCAGAGCAATTGCACTAAGAAGCATTAGAAACTTCCAACCTACCTGGCGAAGTATATCATCACAAGTCTGAATGCGGTCTGTTAATGTGCTCACATAGTGCTGATACTTTTCCTCTGTCTAAAGACGTAGATTAATAAGGACAACAAATCTATGTGCTCACAGATCATTATTGATCCATACCAGATAATAAATCCATTAAGAATCATATCTAACCTCAGATTTCATGGCTGATTCAAGATCTGTGAACCACTTGTAAAACTGCAACCAACACATGCCACACACTGAGATAATTTACAAAGACATCTCTCGTCTTGTCAAACCAACGTAGAAGTTTATTTCACATGTTATGTGACTTGTAAGTCACTTCTCAATGAGACTGGTCAGCAAAAGCAACCATGGCTGGTAAGATCAATAGTCTGCTTCCCCAAAGCTCGAAGAAGCAGAAAGCAGAATAATCATTTTCTATAAGGTTTCCTAGTATGAATCAGACACTTCAGCCTCGAACCCCCCTTTAACCAGTGTCTGTCCTAAATAGAGAATAACAAGATGCCTTTCAACTGAAAATCCCCCATAACAAATGCTCTATACAGAGAATATCACAGTAATCAGTACACTATCTATTTGCATAACTGCAAAGTAAATGGTAGATAAGCATGCATAGACTTACTTGATTCGTATTGACTAAAACTGCTTCAATTCCTTGAGTTTCTCTCATAGCACTGTCCTTAGTAGAGACAGTCAAGCCGCCATTCTCCGCTCTTGGGGCATGCTCTAGGGCCTGTAAATTGCAAGCAGCAGTCAGTATTCGCAATGCTTTCCACCAAAAAGCTCGTAAACGACCAACTAAGCAAACACCAAGAGGCATGGACGAGGTGGAATCCCATGTTATACCAGATTGGCAGGATACGGCCGCTCAGCAACAGCACGAGAGAGTGAAAGAATCGCAGATTGCTGCTGCTCGGTGAGGGGAGCATTCTGCATCACAGAACCCGCAATTAATCAAAAGAAAGTGAAGTAGCATACTAAAATTGCACGAATCCTACTCATTTCGCCTCATCAAGCTTTCCCAGATATATGACCCCGAATCAAGATGCGAACGTCTCAGTTCCGTCGCAGCAGTTACTCCAGATCCAGAATTTTCATTTCGAACTACCGGTGCCGATACCAGAATTACAAATTCATGGACAGACGATGAACAAGGACTGAGATCCAGAAGGATCCGAATAATCCTAAACCGATCCGCGGGCGACGCAGATCAATTGGGCCGATAATTCTACATGCAGAAGGAGAATAAGGAGGAAATGGAACCTGTTCCCAAGTTGAGGCGAAGTTGTATCCCTTAGAAATGGCAACGGATTTGTGGAGGTTCGATGAAGGACTTGCTTTCGCCGCCATGGCAATCACAGAGCAGAGCAAGATTCTACTTATGCTGCTTCGTAGCTCTGCGTTTCAGAAATTCGCGCAGCGGAAACACGTATCCTCCTCTGCGTACAAGAGTGTAAGCGGAGCTAATAGAGTCTCCCCATTGCGATTCTGGTGTGCTAACTTTGAAAGAGCATCAGCTACTAAACCATTCTCTCTGTGAATCTTAGACAGAACGGCAATACCTCCACGGCTCCACCATACTTGTTTCAGAAGAGACCTGCAATCTTTCAAATTGATGATGTTTGCGTTCCTTCCTAAACGCTCGCTGATCTAGTTTTAGTTCGGGAAAACAAGGCCCATCCGAGGGAGGCTCAAAATGATGATTGGGCCTATAAAAAACAGGCCCAGTTAAAATTTTCTGCTTCTAGGGCAATCTCCGTTCATATAAATAAAGCTACGAAATTTAGCGAAAACCTATTCTCTTCCGCTGCTGCTTCAACTTTCTGCAAGGGTTTTTGCCTGAGTCTTATTTTCGATCACGAAGAGCAGCAACCATGGCGGACAGCAGCAAAGTTGAAAAGGCGGTCACCATCCGCACGCGGAAATTCATGACGAACCGCCTCCTCTCCAGGAAGCAGTTTGTAAGTGTCCTAGTGTTTTCTCTTTACTTATTTTCCGTTCGCCTGCTGCGTATCTGCTGTAGTTCTTGGGCTATTTTGGTCGGCCGGTGATGTGATAACTAGATATTTGCTACTCTTGACGGATTCGGAAGAGTCCGCTTGATGAGTTTTGTATCCACCAAGATCTCTGAGGCCGTGTATCTCCATGAATCTCGTCTAGTTCTGTTCGGCTCCTTCCGATATGTTTAGCTTTCTAAAGTCTGCTACGAAAGCTTTGGGGTGAAGTGCACATCTTGCTGCTAATTGGACACTTGCGTTGAGGATTCCGTCTTTTCTATTTGGTATGCGTTTCTGTTGATGCCGCTGTAGGTGCAGCATTGCTGCTATTTTGCTATGGAACGACTGCTTTGTTTTCTGGGTTTCTTTGGTTGTTCCGTTAGTACGAGCTATAGTGGGTATTTAAATGCTCATGCCTTGTGAGGCTGGTTTTTCAGATTGCCACTGTTTTTCTCTTCTTTTCTTGCGGATGTCTTTTTGACAAATTGTTTTATTGTAATAGATTTAGCATGTCAGATTAGCCTTAAGAAAAATGGGCTATTGTTTAAGCTAATGATGTAGCTAGTGGTCCTTCAACGATGACATCCAGGTTCTACCATCTCTTAGATAACTGGATGTTGTTATAAGGATAGCTACAGGTTCTTAGGTTATCAATTATATCTCTGCACTTTGTTGCCAAGGGCATTCTCGAATCAGCACACTTGAATTTTGGTTCTGATGGCTTTTATTGGTTGGTGAACTTAGGTGATCGATGTCCTCCATCCCGGAAAGGCCAATGTCCCCAAGGTATATCAATGCCAGAAGCTTAGTTTTAATCTTTTCCGTTCTCTTTCTTCAATTTGTGCATCAGGCCGTGATGATTTTTACTTAACTTACCGCTCTTTCCATTGTCTTCCTTTTTTAAAGGCTGAGTTGAAGGAGAAGTTGAAAGATATGTACGATGTGAAGGACGCAAATTCTATCTTTGTGTTCAAGTTCAGGACACACTTTGGAGGTGGGAAGTCCACTGGTTTTGGGCTCATTTATGACTCGGTTGACAATGCAAAGAAATATGAACCCAAATACAGACTGATCAGGGTATGTCATCTTTTGCATGTTACGTTTTGGGTGTGTTGTTCCAGTTTGAGTGCTCAAAATGTTGAACGTCCCGTATCTTTCCTTGCAGAATGGACTTGCTACCAAGGTCGAGAAGTCGAGGAAACAGATGAAGGAAAGGAAAAACAGGGCCAAGAAGATCCGTGGTGTGAAGAAGGTAAAGCCTCATATTGCTTGCTTAATAAGAAGTCAACTTTTTCCTTCCTTGTGTCTCTGCCGTTCCTTTGAAGCTTCCCTAACCACCATTCTCCATATGCTTGTGCACAGACCAAGGCTGGAGATGCCGCTAAGGGTGGGAAGAAGAAATGAGCGGTGGGAGATTTCTCTGATGGTCTTATTTTCATCATCTTTGTGCCTGCCATATGAGATCCTGTTGGAAGCCTACAGCACTAGACTTTGTTATGAATCGATAGGATAAATTTTGATGTTGGTAGTTTTGAGTTCGAGTGCTGGATGTTAAAAAAATGTTATTTGGTGATGAATTATAAATTGACAAAACTCAGAGTGGTATATTCCACAGGACAGAAATTTTTGAAATCTAGTAAATTTATTTCGAACTTTATGTTTCTCATAGCTGCTTTCCTGTTGTTTTAGCCATTGTTTGCAGATTCTTGCTCCTGTGATAGGATTGCAAGCTGTAATTGTATCTAGAAATTACCTTCCGTCCATAACAGGCACACCCAGAAGCCTTGCCAAGCAGAGGAACGGGGGTAAAATAAAAAAAGAAACAAGTAAAAGAATTGAGCATACAGGCGGTAAGTTCTTCAATATACAAGTTACAACTCTTCTAAAGAGGAGGGGAACCCAGAACCGAAATAAATGAGAATTCCTCTAGAGGAGGAAATTGGGTTAATTGCATGGTTCGTCACTGAGATTACAAAAAGCATTCATGGTTGGTCACTCTAAATATTTAAATCCATTTTTTATCGCTAACTTTATAAAAATTGTTCATTTATGGTCACTCTCCGTTAGTTGCCGTCCAACGTCGTTAACGACGTCCGTTAAGTGATGATGTGGCTGACGGATTTGCCTAATCAGCACTTTTTAACCCCAAAATTGACTGACCCGACCCGCAACATCATTTAAACCCTCCATGTCAACTAAACCTAACCAAACCTCTAACCAAACCAGATCAGACCCGCTAACTAAAACAGAACTGACCCGGCTCACCAATTAATTTACCCACCTTTGACTAAAACCCTAATCGAAGACAACAACAACACCACAAAAATCTCCAAATCCTCTCCACCCCCTTTGCCTCGCCGACCAGCCGCTCGCCTCTCTCCATGGCAAATGCCTCCTCCCGTTTCATCATCGCAGTCCATTAATTAATGGGTGACCGAACGCCGCTGCGGACCAGCAACGCCTCCTCCAATTCCCAAACTCCGACCTCACCGCCACCTCCCCTACGGGCCGTCGCCGCCGTCTCCCTCCTCCAGCCGGCCAGCAAGAACAAGAAATCCAAGCCCAAGGTCCTCAGCGTCTTCCGATCCGTGTTCCACTCCTTCCCAATAGTCGGCGCCCAGGCCTGCCGGATGCCGATCCTCCTCTCGAGCGGGTTCTCCGACGGGCCGAATCGGGGCGTGGTGTTGGGTACTGACTCACTCCTACTGTCACTCTAGAAAATGGCCAAGTGTAACCACTTCCTAAAGCGTAGTATAGCGGGTTTGGGTTTTAATGTCAACCCGGGTCCTAGATGTGATGACTACTCAGTGAATTCGTATTATCTAGCAATGAAACTTTAGTGAAGATCTAAACTAACAAGCAAGCAAAGCAACTAAATGGTTGTTTTCAGGTTAAGAGAGGTCACCGGGATATGGTTCCCCCTAGACTGCAGTTAAGCCGGATTGTAATTACCAAGTTCAATTTCTATGATTATACTGCGGAAGGTTCTCAAACAGTCTGAAGTCTCGACTAAAGGTCTTCAGACCCTCTCAATCTGAGTCTCTAGCGGGCGACTAACCTCCACCGGAGTAAACAGATTGAGGCCCTAACGAACCAAACCTCCACTACCGAATGGAATTCGGTACAGAATAGCGAATTGGCTCCTCGACTAAAGTCACCAATTCGCTACCTTCAATTAAGGATGCTCTATCAACCTAGGCAGATATTCTCATTCTAGGTTAAAGCAGAAACAACAGGAATTTGATCAGGATTCATGTCATTCAATCATTCAAACCTCAATCGAATATAATCAAATCATAGAAACAGTACTTGGGTTCATACAATCAATCCTAACATACAGATCTAGGGTTTCCCACACCCAGATGAATGGGAGAACTACTCCATGGAGAAAGAAGCAAAAGCAGAATCAGACGCGGAAATCATACTGTGAAGATGGATTTCTGCTCCTGGACGTTGAATCGGCACTTCTCCAAGCTCAAGCCAAGCTCCAATGGTGATGAAGATCAAGCTAGGGCACTTGGAGACTCTTGTTCGTCGCTTTCTCTCTCTAGGAATCGCTCTCTCTCTCAAACTCGAATCCCCTCTCAATTTGGCTGAAATCTGCCTAAAAGGGCATCACTGGCCAGAACACGGTCGAGGGCACGGCCGTGTTCTGGCCCAGCCCGCCCGTGTTTTGGATTTGGCTTAAAAACACGGCCACGGGCATCATGAAAACACGGGCGTGTTCTGTGCAAAACACGGCCGTGTTTTGTCTCAGGCCTGCCCGTGTTTTTTAGGTGGTTCAAGCCGCCCTTGGGTAGTCTCGGCTATAAAAACACGGTCAGGAACACGGCCTTGTTCTGAAGGCCTCCTGCCCGTGTTTTCACTGCCGAACCTGTTCCCCTATATTCAATGCTTCGTTTCTCCCTCGTCCGGACTCCGAATCAGTCGCCGTTTGATCCCAGACGCTCGTAGTCTCGTCCTCTTTCTTTTCATGACAGACTTGCACGATTCTTTGTCCATAAAGGGAGGTAAAAATCCATTCTTCTTCAGGTCACGCCAGAGTTCCTTCTCCCGAATCGCCAATTGATCTCTGATTGACTTGAAACTTGCGCCTATGCTTCACTTTATGTGCTAGGACCTGAAATGTAACAAAGGAACACAACCTAGCGTAAAATAGGCCAAAGAAGCGATAATGCAAGCTTAAACGATCAAGAAACAAAGGGGAAAAACATGTGCAAATATCGAGTCATCAGGTACCCGGGTCACGGGCACCCTCTTCGGGTACCGAAAGGGCCGGGTCAGCCTCTCGATCCAGGAAACCCCCAAATGCCTCCCTTTCGCCGTCTCGCGATGCAAACGAGCGTCCTGCAGAAGGAGCTCGGGTCGGGCATGCTTCGGATCGCGTTCGAGTGTGAGAAGAGGGCCGACACCGGCGACGGGAACAATAGTAATAACAACAACGGGGTTCTAATAGCAGCAATAAGATGAAATTCCTGGACGAGCCACTGTGGACGATGTATATGTTAAGCCCAAAAGGGAATAATGGAGGCGGATGGATTTGTCTTCGATTAGGGTTTTAGTCAAAGGTGGGTAGATTAATTGGTGAGTCGGGTCAGTTTTGTTTTAGTTAGCGGGTCTGGTCTGGTTTGGTTAGAGGTTTGGTTAGGTTTAGCTGACATGGAGGGTTTAAATGACGTGGCGGGTCGGGTCAGTCAATTTTGGGGTTAAAAAGTGTTGATTAGGCAAATCTGTCAGCCACGTCATCACTTAACGGACGTCGTTAACGGCGTAGGACGGCAGCTAACGGAGAGTGACCATAAATAAACGGTTTTTGTAAAGTTAGTGACCAAAAATGAATTTAAATATTTAGAGTGACCAAACATAAACGCTTTTTGTAATCTCAGTAACCAACCATGTAATTAACCCGGAGGAAATGCATACATGTTTTCCTTTGCAGCAACAAATTCAACTGCGCCCCTACAGAATTCAGGCCTCCTTGCGTCAGCATCTCTACACTTGTCAGCAAAATATATTAGAATGTGCCATGTCTCGACAAACACAAGTAGCACACCCATAATCTTGACAATTATTAATGGTTGATTAACTCATGAGGGGATGAATTGTTCCCAAGACATTTTCAAAGAAATTAGTAAGTGAGCCAAAAAAATGTTAGCCAACAATGTCATAACCATAATATTATTATTAAAGATCCTATGGAAAAGCAAACAATGGATTGTTACAATTTCCTCACATAAAAAAATAGCAATATGTTTGGAATAGTAGAATTAAGAAACCAGTTTTGAGCACATAGAAGTATGCTACTAGGGCTAACTAGCCTTTCACCAAAAGCATACTTGGAAGCTATAATAGACACCGCAATAGCAAGTATGTCTCTAACAATCAATGCTAAAGTCGGATACTGCGACTTTTTTGCCTTCCACCACAGTAAAATGCAATAGCAAGTAGTACTCAAACGTTGCAAAATACCTATCATAATAGGGGCTTCACAACATTTGTATCGAATGTGGTCGTTATGGACATGCAAAAGCAACGTGTCCAACTCTTTTCCGTCCGGCAGCCACAACCGCCCCTAACTCAGTGAACCCACCCACAGAGGAGGAGAGTTCCACTTAGTTGGGCAATACAAGCATACACTTTTCCCATACTAACTAGGAAATTGTCTAGCATCTAGTACAAACTTTTCTTTCCTTTTACGAGTTGTTGTCCAAAATTCCACACTATGCGTCCAGCATCTACACTCTTTTTATCACATCCTAACCATCCTTAACAATCTACTTAACATTATGAGCAAAACACCATATGTGTATTTTAGGGCAAGACCACATCAAATGCTCAGAATTCAACTTATAACTGACCACAATAATCAATGTGTCATTCGTACTACAGTTATATAAAGTAATTGCAGACAACTTAGTATTACCATTCCAGTCAAGCAAACTTTCGATACACATCAAACAAAAGGACATACAACAAACAAGTGATTCATGCTCTCAACTCCTCAGGGACACATGGGACAAAGCCTCGTAACTTGAACCCCTCACTTTGAAGCTTGTCATGCATGATAAGGTGATTCTTCATAACCATCCATATTGTAAACTGATGCTTAGGAACTAATCCACGAGACCAAACTAATGGATACCAATGCACAACATGTTCTCTAGGCCTAATACAATCTCAAACCATCTTCACTAAGAACCTCGACATACTTTTCCCATTCCATAACAAACTCCTAGCAACACCTGACATAAATGGCCGAGTAACCTCCCTAGATTTCAGTATACCCTTCCAAATCCAATAGCTAGCAGATGGTAAAGGAATGTCCCATAGAGATCACTGCTTGACCCTATATCTTGAAACCCAGGTCACCCACAAATAACCACCTACTGCAAGAATGTCCCGTTAAAGTTTGACTCCACAAGCTTGATTCCATATTCTAAAATTTATAACACCCAAACCTCATTCCTTCTTAGGTATGGTAAAAAATTTCCAGACAATCACAACTCGCTTCCTTAGACTAGAACCATACACATCCAAAAGATAGTTATTACAAATTTCTCAATTTCATCCAAAACAACCTTAGGCAAAAGGAACAGGTTCATCTAGAACTACAACATATTAGCCATAACAGATTATACCAATTAGATTTTACTTGCGTACCTATGAAGCTTTGCCCTACAACTCCGA